GCATCATAGACTGTGTTTTTATGGTGGTGTGTTTTAGATAAAAATAAATTACGGGAGTGTGTTGTACACAAAGTTTTAATCACTGAATAAGAAAAAATATTGTATGGTCAACGATCAATGATTCTGACTATTTATATTGTGTCATGGGTTAGAAGTTTATAAATTTTATATATATATATATATATATATATATATATATATAAAGCATATGTATCATTATATGAATGGCTGAAATCTTATGATCTCAAATCACAAAAAAAATTCTTGCTCAATAGAGTCTGACTTCAAAGCTCTGTTACACAAGTTTAAGTTTAACCACACTTCTGTTTACGACCAAAAAGAAAAACCTCTTATGTTTAATAAAACCTATAGGCTACCAAGTCTGTTGTTGAAGTCAAGAACAAGTGATATGAAATTTTGATATTTTTTTCAATGTTGTTGGTGTATTATGATTTTTTATTTTTTGAAGAAATGATATTAATCATGATGATTGTACATGTGTCAATCTCAGCTTCCTCAACTGTACATGTATGTTTTGTTCTTTATGCTAGATTGTGGTAATAGTAAGCTACAGTGCATTTCAATTTTTTAATCCAAAAAACATGTTTAGAACATAAACTAAACCTTTGTGATCAAATCTCTCGTTAGTTAGCAACTGTAGAGAATAAAATAATACAACCATTTATCATAGTGCAATTTTCACAAAATTCAATCACTACACATTGTTATTCCAAATCTTATACCTCATGAACTAAGGATTGAAAACTTAAATTAATAAGCAACAAGTAGATGAATAAGAGAAAGTAAAAACAAAACAAAATTTGTTTTAGAGTAAGAGAAAACTAAAAAGTAAACTCAAGAAGTCTTTAGTAATCTCAATGGAGCAAAGATAAAGAGCGGAAAATAATATAAATAATTAGAATATAAGAAATTCATACTATAAAACTTAACTTAAAAAAGCCAACTAACAAAATAAAATGAAGTATTCTCTCAGTCCTAACAAAATTTATTTATTTTGAATGACTTTCATAGGGTTCGCTATAGACAAACAACGCATTTCCATAAAAAAAAATTAATAATTTGAATGACCTTAAACAATCAGCATACTTGCAAAATCATATCAAAATAATTTAAAGGAAGCACAACTTTATATCTAAGAGAGAAAAAAAATAGAACCTCCATTCATAAATCTAAAACCATGTCAAAGTAATTTATGTGTGTTTATGTATGTTTGATTTTCTTCTTTTTTTTTGTCTTTTGATTATTAAAAATTATTTTATAAAACAAATTTCAAAAATTAATTTTTAGAATGGGGTGATTGAAGGAAGAAGATGAAGTAGTAGAAGAAATAATATCAGTCTTATAAAATAGAAATATTAATTTTAAAAACAATTTTTAAAAAATCACTCTTATAAAACATTTTTAAGTCCATGCGATTCTTTATTTTGTGTGTCTATAGCATTGCTCTTGGTGACATGATATTATTCTATCCACACGTAGTACCACATTATTTATCAAATAAATAATTGAATGAATATTTAGAATAAAATTTAAGAATAATTTTTTATTGATCTTAAATTTATCATAAAAATGATATAAATCTTCACGTGTGTTTGGATATATATTGTTTTTCTTCAATGAACTCTTGTAACAATTCTAATGCAAATTAATAGCAAATCTCAAGTGATTGTTACTAGACATGCTCTTAGAGCAACAATTGTTGCACTCTTTACTTTATCACTTTTCTCTATCGTTATTAACATTCTTGCCATGAACAACGTGGATAGAAATTTGTGCTAGAGATTGAAGTATTTATACAACCATGTTAGGAACTCACCAATAATGGAGTTATCAGATATGTTTAACTTGTTCATGTTTATTTGGATGAAGTAGCTCTATGATGGCAATTTTAGGGCTTGAGGATTCTCACCTAAGCGCTACCCTTTTTAAATATTTTTTAAATAAAAAATTTAAGTTGAATTAAATAAATGACATTACTTAGGATATCTCTATTAGGTTATGTGACAGAATTAATAAAAAAATCAATGTGAAAAAAATTTAAAAAATAAAAATAAATAAAAAATAGAAAATGAAACAAAATTTATCTTAAAGGACAAAAGACTAAATTTACATAAAATATAACATTGAAAAAAAAATTTAATATGGTGTTAAAAAAACAAATATATTTTGTAACTTATAAACGCTGTGACATTATCTGATTCTAGTTGTATCAATTCTAAAATGAGTTATGTTACCTTCTTCTAAAATGATGAATAATTAATCTATGTCAAATTGCTTTATATATTTGGAATTAAATCAATCAAACGATAGAATAGCACATATATTTTGTAACCTATAAAAGCTGACTGTGACATTATGTGATTCCTTTTAAGTGTATCAATCTAAAATGATTCATATCTACCTTCTTCTAAAACATTTAATAATTAATCTACGTCAAATTGCTTTGTCTTTGGAATTAAATCAATCAAATGATAGAATAATAAAAAATTGATAGAAGTATATTAAAAATGTTTTTCCTCTTTAAAATTGATTCAATTCAATATGTAAATATTCCTTAGTCCTAACTTCGCATGACATGGAAATGAACTTTGTGACCAAATATCTGCTCATGATAAATGATAAATAATAGAAAAAAAGAAATAATGATTCATGGACAAACAAAAAATGTAGGTGGACCCATCTAAGGAGGTATTTAGTAGAAAAATTCATTTTTGATTCTTTCGAATTTTAAATTAATATTAAATTTTCATATTTTATAAATATTTTTTAAAAAACTAATATTCTTAGAAATTCATGATTCTCTTGAAGGTAGAACTTATTTATAAAGCAAAAATAGAATTATATTATTCAATATTTTCAAACTTAAAGTTAAGTTATTTATTGTTTATTAGAAGCCTCAAGTTGCTATCTCATCATTGTAATCCAAGGTATGGAATTAAAGACAATTAAGTCCCTCAATGCGGTGGCACCTAAAATTTTAGTCCAATTAATTTAATTAAGAATAAATACTCATAATCATAAGTGTCAATTTAGTTGCTAGTTCATGGCATTATTTTTTTTTAACAGAATTTATTGTTTATAATTGATGAAGTTAGCTATATATATATATATATTTATTTATTTATTTATTTATTTAATTAGTAATTTAAACAAAAGTTATCAACTATCATAGGAAGTAAATAAATATTTTAAAAAAAGAATATTAAAAAAACATTAATATTCTTATAAAAGTAATATTTAAACCAAGCATAGGGAAAAAAAATTGTGTAACATTCTATCATAACATTTGCATAGACTATGATTCTCAAGAAACAAAATTTTAAAAACTAAAATTATACACTAAATACTTCTTAAAATTATTATTTATTTAATGAATAATAGATTTCTAATATTTGCTTGATTTCTCTAAAGTAAGATTTTAAATTTAAAATTTGCGTATAAAAAATTCTAATAAAAAAAGTTTATCTAATCAAGTTATAAATGCTCACAACTTATATAAAATTATCTCTTCCCAACGCTATTTATAAAGTAGATTAAAAATTATTATAAAATGACATAAATGTGAAAAATCTTTTTATTTTTATTTTTGAAAAATTACCCTAATAGAAATTGATTTTTTTTAAAAATAATGTAATTGTATACATTAAAATATTTAGTGTGTTTATCTTTTCCTAAAAACTCTTGATATTCAACAATAAGAGAGAATGTAGCTCTCCATGACAATCATTCCTGATTCCCTGCTTTCAAGTGATGATGATGTCTCAAAATTTCACACAAATATATGTAATTGTGTGCATCTCCATATCATTATTGAAATTTAAAAGTAGTAATAGGAAGAGGAGAAAGCAATGTGATGAGGGTAGGATTTCCATTTTCATGACTAACAAACAGGTTTAGAGTCCAAAAAAGCAAAAGTAGGTTGAAACCGTAGTTCCCATCTTAAAGTAGCATGTGAAGTGTAGAACCCACCACACAGTTAGTGGCAGAGAGAAAGAGAAGGACAATTCTGACTTTCCATGTTGCTTCTGTGAAGCTCTTTATGGGTCCCCCACTGGCTCAAATTTGGTGGGGAGATAGCAAGTTGCACACTTGCACCCTCAGCTCCTCCCTCACTACTAATCACTATGAATGTTTCCCAATTATTTCCACCTTTTCACATTCATTCTGAGCCACTAATCCTCAAATTTTGGCATCAATTTGACATTTGGTGGGGTAGGAAAACCAGACCTGGACCTAGCAAATTGTACCATAAGGACCCACAGAAAAATAAAAATGAAAAAGCAAATTGTACTATAAAAATAAGAAACTAGATTTGTACTTGTAGGCTCTGCCAGCTCAAGATTGGCTACATAGTGTCCATTTTAGAGGCGGGAAAGAAGGCCATATCAAAATTTTGTTAAGTAGCAAGAAATGCTTATACAACAATGAGAAATGCTGTGGATTATGAAACAAAAGAAATGGTAGTAGCATTTTATATACATTTTTATTATTGATTAAAAATTATTAAAATAATAAAAAGGTTGAAAAGTAAGTCTGAATTTTAATTTAATAAATCTATATCAGAGAATATTTCCTAACACTCTTCTTACAAACAGTGTAGCAGTGTATAAATATAAGAGTGTGACAATACATCAGAATTTGAACCACGTTCCTGACATCTACAATTTTTGTGAATTCAGTATATGATATGGGCCTCCAATTAAAGGGCATTACTCCTCCACGTGATTGGTTGAGATGCCAAATGTTTGTGTACTTATTATACCCAGATCTTACGTACAAAAAGAACATTAAGTTCCGCATCATTGATGATTTTAGTTTATATCTGCGTTAAAATTAAAAATGTTTTTAATATCATTATTTCTTAACTTATTTTTACCCATATTTGTGGAATCATTGATGAAGGAACCAAACATAGCCGCAAAAGTCACAAATAATTTCGCATTGACTGTGTAGGGAAAAATAATTGTTCCAAACGGGTCCAAGTCAAATTCAACTGTCATAACATGAGATGAAAAAACATCTTAAGAAATGAACCTAGTGCGCCTCTTATCGTGACCTATTTTCTCAAGTTATAATAACGTATGAATGGAGAAAAACCAAGTTAGTTTGGCCAAGTTCATTGAATGTCAAATTGGTCCATTCCCATTGCCATCTGAAAAAGAGTCGATGACTTGAAAATCAAGTCCTCTTGTTCGTCCAGGTGCACCCCCTTTAAGTGACGACACATCTAACATGATCCTGTTCAACCAAATACAAATTCAGCACTTAATTTCACCCCTTTTGGTTGCTAAATAAATAATTGTGTTTCACAAGGCTTACCGGTTATTTGATTCCTTTTGTAGTCCTGAAGAGTTTATGACGATTTTGTCATCAATTGTTGACACTGCATGGTAAATTGGAAGATTGATCTCTCCTGCTGCTGGATTGACAAAATTAAAGATATCAATTTAATAACTTCATGGTTTTGGAAAACAAGTGAAGTTAAGATGAAATTTAACAACTTTAGGGTACCTGAATTAGGTGAAGGAGTGACACAACCATCAAGTCCTAGTAATTTCTGCATTAGATGTTATAAATCAAGCTTAACAGTTAAAGAAAAACTGGGCTGATGTGAGGAAGTTTGCATATTGGCAACTAAGAGTTACCTTCAGATTCTCATAACACTCCTCAAGTTTGTCATTGTGTAAGATGGTATCAAATATGCCTGATGACTTTCCTTGCTCAATCTCGTCCCGAGCATTTCGCAATCGCTTCAAGATTTGTTCTTCTGTTTCCGTCCCTCTGCTCAAAACATTAAGGATTGGAGTCTTTTGTGCAACATAGTGGATGGTTTTGTCTTCAAAGGCATGAGTAAGAGAAGCTATAACTCACCGATCACGAAGACGCTTCTCTAGCTCTTCCATTGACGGGGGGCAGATAAAGATGAATATGGCTTCAAGAGAACTAGCCCTCACAGATTTTGCTCCTTGAACATCAATATCAAGAATACATCTCTGAATAAAATGTAAAAAGTTAGTCAAATCTGAAGGTAAGTAATGCTGATAAGGTTGTTTTGATATAAATATTAGTGTCACTCACAATTATCAAAGAGAAAATTTAATTTCATTATCATAAAAAAGCAAGACCACAAAACACTGCCTTAGATGTATTTTAGGAGCTTAATTTTGCTTGCATAAATCGAAGATATTTTGTTCAAATATCCGATGTAGGCCTTTAATATTAAAGTTTAGAATATAAAATAAAAGTAAAAAAGGTGTTATATTTGATAGAAATTATGTTCATTTCCACAATATGTGGCATTAATATTTATCAAGGGCAATGCAACATAGCTATGTTTCTGACAAGGCTGTATTATGCATGCTGCAGCAATTGCAACTCAGGAAGTTAAGGTGATCCATATATTTCAGATCTTACAAGTGTGTGTAAAAATCAGCAGATTTCAAAGAGTACTTGGATAAAGCCTAATTATTATTTTAGAATCATTTGATTGAGATAGGAAGCAATAGGCAAGGCATCATCAAAGAGACATTCATTAACATAAATTTACAAGTATTGGCATGCGACAAGTATAACATTCTAAATATCCAGGGCCTATGAGTATGAGCAATTTACTTTCCCTGCATCTGATACCATTTCAACAGCCTCAACACTGGTCCCATATAGATTACCATGGACAGAAGCAAACTCCAGAAACTTTCCATCTTCGATATCTTTCTCCATAACACTCTTTTCAGTAAAATGGTAATGGACACCATCTTTCTCGGTACCTCTTGGTGCACGGGTTGTGTGGCTCACAGAGAAACCAAACATAGATGGGAATTCCTTCATGAGCATTGATATTAATGTTCCTTTACCTACTCCAGATGGACCACTAACAATAATAGGTTTCTCAGCATGCCCTACCACACCCTTACTCCATGCAACAACCTCAGTCCCCAAATTTTTTCTTTGCTGCCTGACATATTGTGTGTCTACCTGCCAATATTAATAAAATGGAAAATTTTAACACCTATTTAGTGGGAATCTAATATTGTTTCAGAGTTTCCATGTAATAATAGTTCTATTGCATTAGATTAAGGACTTGAGTCTGAAAACACAACCTCCAGAAACCATATACAATCATCTGGCTTAGCATTTTTCTTAAGAATTAGCACTCGGTCTTTCAAAAATACGGCCGAGTGGCCATTACTTGAAATGGGTTTGGTGCCTAGCACAAAGGGATCAATCCTGCACATTAAAATGGATATCAGTAACCAAAAAGAAAACGAAGAAGAGAAAGAAACAAAAGTGTTATGAGATAAGAAACCTTAAACTTACCATTCCCCAAGACAGTTGTTTAGAATTTGAACTTTTATTGATAAAGTTTTACCATCAGTTCCCCCAATGACATACTGTCAAACAAATGGAGGTCCATATTTTGTTTCAGGAAGCAGATTGACTTGGTGTAAATCTAAATAGTAAACAATAACACGTTGAAAGATGATGTTTATGTTACAGCATGTTGTATGATCAATAATTCAATACCCTTTTATCACCAATGATTGTAGCTGTTTCAAAAGTTCCCTTTTTAGATTGAAAGCCATTGGTAGTCCCATTCTGCAGGTCTTGAAGAATGAATGTTGGAGCTTCTCCCTAAAAACCGCAGCCAAAAAGGGGTTACATACATCAAATCAAAACACCGGATTAATCCAACATCACAAGCTAACAACATTCTAATCCTCCAAAGAAAAATAAAGGTTCTTAGTGCTGACCATGGAGAAATCTTTTCCAGAATTCAATCCTGATCAAAATGCATAAATAGAGATTAATCACGTGAAGGATCTGCTATACACCAAAACTTGCATTGTTAAAAAAAATCCAACACAACCCAACAAAATTTCGATACAATTTATCAACAACAACAAGGTTTGTTATTCAACATCTCTGATCCCACATTAAAAATCTTTGGAAAGATACCCCTTTGAAAGAAAACAAATATATAAATTTAAACAACTCGGAATTTCTAAACCAACTTGAAAAACCACACCCCTCCATATATATATATATATATATATATATATATATATATATATATATATATATATATATATAAGGGAATAAGAAAAGAAAAGAAGGATCATGCAATAAGCAAGGGATCGAACAAAAGACAACCCAGATCGCAATGCCTAAAAAGCTGAAGCCTTTAAGAGGTTGAGGCAACAATGTTGATGTTACCTTATAGTAATAGCAGCAAGTTATGTGCAGAAAAGAACAAACTTTGTTTGGTCTTTTTGTGAGGTGGTAGAGTGTTCAAGGTTTCAACTTGTGTCTTCCCTTGTTGACAACCTTAAAAAAGGGAAAAGAAAAAAAATTGTATTTTGGGTTTCAACAACTTTTAATATTTGATAAGAATGAAAACAAAGTTTGGGATGCAGAGAGAGGGGCGGCAGAGGAAGGTGCAACAAAAATCAGGGAATGGATTTTCATATTTGTAGGCGCAAAGTGTGAAAAAGCGGTTCGGTTTTTTTCTGGGTCGCGTTTGGTTCACGAACCGGTAAGATCGGCTTTCGTTTTCTTGTGAGGTGTTTGTGAAGCATCAACAATTTGTTAATTATGGATTAGGATTTTACAGTTCACTTTTTAAATTTATCATCGTATCAATTAGGAATTTTATCATGGTAATCACTAATAAAAACTATTTTCAATTTGAGTTTTGGGCGCTTTATGTTGAATCATTTAAGTAAATTATCACTTTATTGTACTAGATAGGTTGTTAGAACTATTCAATTTAATCCATGATTTTATATAAGTTTTACTTTGATTCTTAATTATATAAAAATGTTATGTAATTTTTTAATATATATTTTTTTTAATATTGATGATTAAAATAAAAAAATTATAACATTTTATGAAGACAGAAATTACAGTAAAACTTTTATAAAGTTAAACAAAAAAGTACATAGTACTTATAATTTTAAAGATTAAAATAGTAATATACTCTGAATTAAAAATATGCCTAAAACTCAAAAGTAGAAGGTATAATTGGATTAAAAAGAAATTTAAAAATATTTTAGAAAATAAAAATGAAAGATGTGATCCCAATTTCAAAAAGGTTATTTAATATAAATAACATAGATTATATGTTATCCTACATTTTTATGGAGGGGTGGAATATGGCTTTCCAAATTTTGATTTAACTAATATAAAAATCGATTCTTAAATAATTTAATTCATGTCAATTAAATAATGTTACGTATCAAATATTTAATAATAATGCAATTATATAAAGTAAAGGGTTGTTTTTAGATAAAATTAAATAAAATTAAAAATAAAATTTATTGATTATCATAAATAAAGTAAAGGGTTGTTTTTAGATAAAATATTAATATTTATAAGAAATGATATTTAAACTAAACAAAATATCAAAATATTCTGTGAATAACTGTATAATATTCCAAAAATATTTAAGACATACTAAATGTATTTTTAACATCCTTTAAAAACATAATTTTCAAGAATTAAAAAATTTGTAACCAAACACCGCCTAAAAAAATAAATAAAATTAAGATTCACAATATAAAATTCACCGTACCCTTAGTTATAAGTTTACAGCAAAATTCAAATTCAAAGTAATAATTAAACCAAACATATATTCCAAATCAAAATGAAACAAAAAGAACAGAAAAAAAAAAAAAAAAAAAAAAAAACTTCTCGAATCGACGAGGTCGAGATAAGTAGTAAATTCTTGAGACAATCACGTAAAACTCTAGCGAAAGACAACAATAATTTTATAATAGCTCATTAACTATCATGTTTTCTTTTATTTTCTTTTTTTTTTTTCAAAAGAAAGAAATGGAAATGAATTCCAAAATAAAAAGGTAAGAGAGATAAAATTTTGATGAGAACAGTGTTAAGTGTGTTCCTTAACTTTTTTATTTGCAATACTTTTTATTTCTGTTTTGAAGGTTCAACATAAAAAATAGTTATATGATCCCAATTTTAAAATTAAAATAATGAATATGATCTCAATTTTAAAAATAGTTAATATCAATAGCTTATCCTAAATGATTATGAGTATATCTATTCTATCGAATAATTTTTAAAAAATTATATTGATAAACCGGTAATCTAAATTTTTTAAAATTAAACTTTCATATTCGTACTCATAACATTGAGCAATATCCAATTAAAATAAATATAAAATTAAAAATACCTAAATAAATTACAATACATATCTATAATTAAAATATATCCACAAATAATTTTTTATATTTTAAAAGATTGAACAATTGCAAATCAACACATAAAAAATAAATATAAGAAAAAAAAAAGAGGAAGAAAAAGAAAAAGAAGAGAAGGGAGTAAAGAAGACGCAATAAGAAATTTAAAGATGATAAATATAGTGTATCACGATGAAAAATACTCACTAAAAGTAATGTAGTAGTAATAATAAAATATAATTTTACATTCATATATTGAAAATGAAAGTTTTCTTTTATGATGAAAAATGTTTATTTTTTAAAGGACCATGCAATTAAAATACATTATTTAAAAATAGGAAATACAATAAAATAAGGTTTATAACTATTTATGAAAAATGAATATTAAAATAAATTAAATTCAATTTGTTTTTAGTTTTTATTATACTCTTCCTAATTTCAAAGAGATTTTAATTTTGATATATTGTTAGTGTAAATTTTTTTTAAAAAATTATCATAAACACAACTTTTAATTTAGCTATAATAAAAGTTAACAATTTTCAATTATGTCATAATTCATAATTATATAAAAATATTTGTATATTATTAGTGTATTTTAAATAAATTTTTATAATATTATATTTTTAAATTAATTGATCAATATTTTGCCTAGGATTCAACTTCAAAGAGTCGTATACCTTCTAGTGAACAATTAAATTGAAAGCTTATTTTATTCAGCCTAAAATGAAATTATCATGAATATTAATTAGGGTTGAAATCACTAAGCCTTCTTGCAATTTTAAAGTAAGTTCTAACTCTCAATTATGAGAATGAAGTTAAAATTTATAGACAATAAGCTATTACAATACACAGTCTATATCATTTGCCATTATAAGAATTCACATAAAATTAAAGCTAGAAAAATCATGGCAACTAAGCTGAGGTTGATCTCTTGGCAAAATGGAAATCACACTAATAGAAGTACAAAGACTCAACTATTATCTAAGTAGAGGAGTTCATAAATTGTTAAAAAAAAAAAAAAAAAAACTTCTTTAAAGAAAAACAAAAAAAGTAGCTACACTAGGTAATATACTATCATAACCTTTTATTAAATAGAATATATTCGGTGATTCTTGAAATCAACTTTAGCTATGTTTAGAAAAAAAAATACAAACAAAAATTAGGTAATGAAGCATCCCTTAACATATAGTTTCTCAAGTTAACCATGTGATTTATTTTATTTGTACTTAATTATTAGTAAATACAAAAGCTATAGATAAGCAGGAAAAAAAAACAAGAAAAATGTTTTTAATGTGTAATATAATATCATTTTTTACATTATCATTACTTTTATTATGACAAATGAAAAAGAATAATAGAAAAAAAAATAGAACACACTTATATTAATATGCTTTAGTCAATGTGATTTACATTTACGTAATGACTCAAATAGTCAGTGTAATCTTTTTTTCAATGGATCATGAGCAATCAGTATTTTTAGAAAAAAGATTTTGGAGAGAAAAAAAGGAGATGACATATTTTTTAATTTTAATTTAAAATAATTATATATTACTCATAATAATAAATACATAATTAATATATTGAATTTATATCAATATATCAATTTATATTTTTATTTATAAATAAATATTAATTTTTAAATAAATTTATTTAAAATATAAAATTAGTTTTCTCTTCCAAAACCCCTTGGCAAACAGCTCTTAAAGAAACTTCAAGGTTTTGAATCTATACCATCTCATAAACTCAAGATTTCATATACATTATTCCGTAATTTATCACGGTTATATTCTTATTAAATTTACCTATTACAATGAGTTGCATGAGAAATGAAGGAATAATTACTCGTAGAAGATTAGACCAATAACTCAAGTTGTAGTAAACGAAATTACCTCCAAAATAGTGCACATATCCTTAGACTCGCGGAAATAAATAACGCAATCTAGATACTAGTAAAAACCAAGGCCTGAGGACACCATATATAAGCTTAATATGATCACACAATGCCTCCTTAATTGGGGAGTAATATCAAATACACATGCCATAACGGAGAAATAAATTGATTCATAGTAGGAAAAAGAGGTAGTGGAGTTTGCCTAGTATGATTTTTTTTCAAAGAAAAAAAAAGAGAGAAATGATGTAAGAATGTTTCTGGTCAATCATCATTCACGATATTGTATTTCCCTTGTTTTTAAAGTCAAAGGTTGATCATCATTCATGACTCATGAACACCATCTCATATACCTGCTCTGAGAATTGATGGGTGGAGCAGCAACAATATACTAGCCAAGTATTCGTCAAATAAAGAGACGAAAAACATATCAGCTTTACTAATTTGAGAAACCAATATATTGCTACGAAGAAAGTTACTTTACAAGTATATTTTACTTACCACAATGTCAACACTAATGTTGTTTATGAATAACCTAGAAGAAATTTTGATATATTACTAAAATACTAGTTTCTATCCGTTTTATGTGTATTCAATCAAAAGAAAATTTTTTATATAACTACTAAAAATAATTTATTGCAACAAACTTCAAGATGCTACAGATGTAACATAGTAGGAAAAAATAAATCAAGTGCTCAATTGTCAATATATAAAAAAGATAGTCCTACAATTAAACTAAAGTGCAAATAGGTTGAAACAAATAGCACTAAGAAAGTATAATGTCCAAAAATAACTTTAAAGTATCAAAAACAAGAAAAAAATAATATTAAATGTAAAGAATAAAATCACTTTCTCTAAAATGTAATAAGGAAGTTGTCTAAATAACATTACAAAAACTTATAAGAAAAAATTAATATATTTAAACTTTTGACTACGTTATATAAGAATTACTTTTCCTTTTCTAGCTCATGATGTGATATTTGGTGTCAGTCCTCTCTGACATTCGATTGACATCTTTTACATGAGTTTAGTATAAAAAATGGGTAGGGTATAGTAAGATATTATAGTACTTATCTTTATATCTGCATTCTAAAAATATACTCATACCCAGCTTTATATCTGAGTGGATAGTAATTTGAATTTCCATATTCTTATCTTTTAGATACTTGCATATCTATACCTATACTTATTATTTGTACTTGTTTAAGAATAAAAAAACTTATTAAAAAAATATGCCTATATAACTTCACATAAGTAGCATAATAATACAAAAATTCAATACGTAATTATTGAACAAAGTTCAAGCATAGATAAAAAAA